CCCCCGCTGCACCTCACTGCACCCCCCAGCACCGCCGGGGCTGGCCCTCCATCCCCTGCACCCTCCTGGGACAGGGCCATGCAGCCAGATGGCCCCCAGCTGAAGCGGGGGGTATGTCCAGGTGTCCCCCACCCCATGTCCCCTATCTGAGGCAGAGGTGTAGAGCCAGGTGCCCCCAGCCCTGGCAGCTCCACCTTGGGCATCCCAGGCTCACTCTCTCCAGAGGTGCCATAGGAAAAGTCACCCCAAACCAGCCATGCCACCCACACTCAGCTCTGGGGTGTAGTGGAAGGGGTGGGCTGCATGGGGCAGTGGGACATGGCACTGTAAGGACAAATGCCATTGGGGTCAGCAAAGCTCATCACCCCAAAATGGGGCAGAGTGGACCAAGATCTGAATGGAGTGAGGACCAGGAGGGGACCAGAGCACAGTGATGGGACCCTGTGGCAGGAGACTGCTGCCAGGAGGTGACAGGCACGAGCTGGGGTCAAGGGACAGTGGAGAAGTGCCACCACGTCCCTCCTGCTGCAAGCCACCAGCGGGCAGCCCCGAGGCACACGGGTGCCTGCCGGGTAATTATGACTTACGCTCGGGTCCCCGCGAGGTGCAGAGATTAATAACCGTGGCGCTGCTGCCAGCCTGTATGATTAAACTCTTGATTAGAAGCTCAAACTACAGTGCCCTGCAAATTCCCCCTGCTCTCACACACCCTTAATCACCCAGCACCGGCGGTGATAGGCCTGGGGCTGGCAGGGCTCGGTGCCACACAGGGCACGGGTGCTGGGAGCACCCCAGCTACCTCTCGCTTGGAGTGCTGGCTGGTCTCCAGTGAGCTGAGGGGAGAGGCTGCTTTGGGACTCTGGTGTCCCCACCCGTGGGTGGGAGAGGGCTGTGGGTCCTGTGAGTGGATGGCCACACTCTGTGGCCACTGAGGACCTCAGGAGGTTTGGGGAGCTGGGATTTGGTGGGCGCAGGGCGGGAGGGGAGGGAAGTGGGGGTGCAGTTTGGGAGCAGCACCATATGGGCAGCAAATGCCAGCGTGTGGCACGCAGCCCTTGGGGAGGCTCCACACACGTGGCTGCACTGCGTGAGGAGTGGGGGGCGAGGGGGCTGGGGAAGGGACTGGTGCTCTGTTGTGCCCTGGGGACTGTGCTGCCCACCCCAGGCTGGTCCCACACCTGGGCTGTGGGCAGAGGTAAGAGAATCAGGGTGGCCGATTTCTTGTCCCTTTCTTGTTCCTTGCCCCAGGCTGTGGGACAAGGACAAACCCTGTCATAGGGAAGTAAGTAGAGCCTTCGGCCCTGCTGCTGGAGGAGAAGGTGCCTGGAAGATGGCACAGAGGCAGGAACATGTGTCTACCCATGTCCTCATGGCACCTTTTAGTGCCCTCAGGGGACAGATACCTGTCATGCTGAGCCCACGCTCAACTTTGCTAAAATCCTGCACCCGTCCCATCCCATCCCATCCCATCCCATCCCATCCCATCCCATCCCATCCCATCCCATCCCATCCCATCCCATCCCGGGCCAGGGGCTATGGCACAGCCCAGGGGATCCCGGCTCACTCCCGAGGGTACACCATGGGGTCTCTGGTTCCATGGGGTCCCGGCCCCCGGCTGTGGCGGTGTCCCAGCTCGGTGACAATCCCCCGGCCTCGCCCCCCGCGCTCCGGTCGCTCCCAGCGCCACGCGTGACCCGTCCCCACGGGCGGGGCGCGAAGTTTGCCGGTGACGTCAGGGGCGGGGCGGGGCGCGAAAGGGGGCGTGGCCCCACGGTCCCGCCCCCCCAACTTGCCGCGCCGGGCGCGCGGGGCCGCGCCGCGACGGACCGACGGCTGGGCTGGGATCGGCTGGGATCGCTGGCATCGGCGGGGATCGGCTCGGCTCGGCCCGGCT